TTTGAATTACAAAAAGGGATCGCATGAATGGAAACAGTAATTTTTTATTCTTAATGTCCAGGAAAAAGGTAATGACCCTGACCTGACCTTGCCTCTAGTATTAAACAGTCAAATCTTATCTCACCGATACCATCACTTAGTGATATTGTCCTCTTGATTCTGTGACAAATTTCCTTAATTTTTAAATACAAGAAATGCTAGAAGAATCCTACCTTAAATATTTCCTTTTATAATAAATGTTTAAACAAAACAACTCTATGATAACATTACACAAAAATTAGCGATTTTAACAATGCTTAACATGTACGTCAGTAACGACTATGACGTAATCTGTCTTTTGAGTCATGTGGCATGTGACCTGTCTCCCCTTCATGAACATAAATAGTTTGTTATAATCTATGACAGCAAAACAATGTTATACTTTTTCATAGGATTTGTTTCATTTATTTTCAGGCCATTCTAAGACTTAGTGGTGATGTTTTGAAGAGAAGGATTAGTGAAATATAACTGAGTGGATAATAAAAATTCACAATATGAACGTGACAACAACAAACATTTCTATGAGAAAAAAAGATTGTCTTCATGCTGATATTCATTTACATTTATTGTAAGCAAAATGTGCAATATTTTATAGAGGTGATTTTGGTGGACAAACAAGATATTGATTTTACAATAACAACATAATGTGTATACCCTTTATAACTATAAAATGATATTTTACATTTTACTCATCCCTGGATTTTATTATCTATATATCTATATATTATTGTAATAAATTGTGCTTTTGCTCGGTCACAAATTATCATTTATCATTATCGATAAATGATCAGTATCACTACTAAGTCAAAAACGTACTGACATTCCCATTTTTTACTGACAAACTTAGAAAATTACTGACAATATGCTGTCGTTACTGTAAAACTTAGACAATTACTGACCTTTTTACTGTCGGTACTGATAAACTTAGAAAAGTGCTGACAATCTTAGTGGGTGCTGAAAAACTTAGACAATTACTGACCCGTTTACTGTCCCTGCTGAAAAACTTAGACAAGTGCTGACATTTACTGATAATTACTGTCCCTATTGTTCTCGCTTTCGGAGTAGCTGTAGTAGTGTGGAATTCGATTGAATTGATTTTTTTTTTTTATTTTAACATAGATTATTATTTTATTTATTTGTATTTTCATATAATTTTTAACTATGTCCAGATGATGTCTTTGAAAAAAAACTTATTTGATCGATTTATAGAAAATTGATTTGTAAAAAAAATATTTTCAAGAGAAGGGATAAAATTTCAAAACCTTCAAAAAGATAAGTAATTAAAAAAAAATCTTCGTTTAGTAGTGAGATACGAAATTTTACAGAGGTCTTTTCCTTTTTATAATAAAACAATGTTATTACATGACATGCATTTTATAATAATTAACATTAACTCCCTGACTTTCTTCAATATTAATTTAAAGAATTAAACTGTTAGGCTAGATGTGTTTTATTCAATTTTAATTTGATTTGAATTAGTTTGAATAATTTTAATAAACTCATAGCGGGCGGTGAGGCCGTGGGTGCCCTCTTTTGAGGAAAGGCGTTTGTTCAAGTTTTCATATTATGTAAAATTTTTAATTATGTGGAGGCCGCCCACATTTGTTCATACCCGAATCAAAGCATTTGCAAGAAGAAACCACTGGACAATTAAAAGACAGACGGGGGATTTAAATATTTTTTTTTTATTTTTATTTATTGGGCAGGGGGAGGGGGGCCTGGATTGATCATTGATCCTTTGACATTCATTGATTTAGTTACTGTCCGCATCATTCTTTTGAAATAATGTACATCTTTTAGCTGATTCTGACGAATCTGAATTTTCAGGAACCCCACCTGAAAGTGTTATTTTAATTCAATTACATGTAAAACTATGACATTTTATATTATCATCATTTGTCTATGCATACTCCTGAAACAAAACTTTGATAGAAATTAATATCAATTTTCTTTCCAATTAGAGTGTCGGTAGACGTTCACATGGATCTAGTTTCTTTTCAAATTAAAATTGGGGGGGGGGGGGGGGGGGGGGGGGGGGGGGGGCGTGCGAACTAAATGTAGAACGATGAACATGTACTTATTTATTTTACTAAAGTAGAACACACAATTAATACTGTCGTGTTTAAGTTTGTACTCATTTTTATCTGTTTAGGTAATTAATACATTTAATTAAATACATGTATAATAAATTAACTTAATAAATCGACGTTTCATATATAGCTTTGTTCGGTATCGAAACCAGTATCATGATTTTACAGTTACACTGTGCTTTTTATTCGTCAAAAATTATTTAAGTCCTTTAGCTGGTATCCAGCTGAATTTCATAATCATTCAACATACAATCGGAAACTTGGTGAAGCACCTGTGTGTAAAAGAAATCGCCTGAGGCGATCCGAGTGTGTACGATAGCGGGTAAAGAAGACAATAGGTGTCACTGCAGCATTATACAGAAGATCACTCGCCGGATTTCACTGGAAGTTAGTTACGCAACATTACGGCGACAGGTATAGACTCTTCTTCAAGACAGTCTGAATTTGAGAAATTCAACACCAACACATACGTAATATAAATAATTATGCAATCTACAAACCTTCAACCTCTTCTTAGATTAAATAAATATTTTTTTTAATATACCGACGTAAGAAAAAATTAACGATTAATGAAAAAAGAAGATTGATGTAAAAACCAACCGGGGAAAGGCTCAAATTGTTTAAAGATTTCAGCAAAAATAAATATATGACAAGGATACATTACATCCAAATTTTTGTAAAAATTACTGGTTCCGAATATTTTTTGTTAAGTCGTGTTAGTGTGTGTGGGGTACAGTTGAGTGAGGAACTTGTTTGATTATCAAATCAAGTAAAAAATATTTCATAGTATATTTCCTCAACTTTTTATCAGTAATTAATAATAATTAAAAATCAAAAACAATTTATATGCAGAATATTATGACATTAAAAAAAAAAAAAACAGCTGGAGCTTGACTGTATTTTAAACTTTGCCTGGGTCGATATTGATTTTTTGGAGAGAGAGAGAGAGAGGAGGGAGAGAAAGAGAGATGAAAGGTTACTCAACACGGAAGATAATGGGCACCAACAGTCAGCGAATAATCTTACTCTTATGAAAAGGAAAGATGTTAATGAAACATGAATCAAATAAATAATGATTACGGGTATAAATTGATCAAATGGACAAAGAAGTTTACATCATTCAAAAAACTTACACATTTTTATAAAATTCTTAATTATTCAAGTACCGCTGTACTAGATATTTTTTCATGTAACGTGTGTGTAGCGGGGGGGGGGGGGGGGGGGGGGGGGGTGTTATACATGTATGCAAGAGGGTTCGAAATAAATATTTGTGAGTACTGGTTCGATGGACTAATGACTTCCAATTTCACTACTTCGTAAAATATTTTACTAGACAAATCCGCCCTCTGCCTTTTTGTTACGTTAACATCATAACACCCCCTACGCCTCTCGGTACCTACTTTAATGAGATGAAATTTAATTTCAGCACATAAAATTAATTCCGATTCACCGATAGGTACAGGAGGAAATTGGAAGTTATGAAACATGTAATATTTTTGTTAAAATTGAATCATGATTAAAAAATACTTAAAGATTAAGTTCAAAAACTAAATAGTGATCTAACCCCCTCGGCAATGTGAATAAACGGAGCACTTGTCAAGTATTTAAGTAACTTAAAGTGTCAATACTGTTTGTATCTTTAAGAGAGAGAGAGGGAGGGAGAAAGAGAAGAAAAATGGTGCTACTGCTTATATTAGTCTTACCGCTGACCTAGTAAATGTAAATATTTTCCGTAAGATTACTATAAATGCTAGTACATGAATTTTTATTACTAGTCTGTTAATTATTTATTAGTCTCGGATTTACAGATATTGAGTACTTATGAACCCTGCGTAATCGATCAACCAACCATTCATTTAGATATAATGTTTTAAGTGACAAAATTAACAAGGCATAGTACAAGTTTATATATTCATTATATTGAACACTTCACTGTTCAATAGGGGAACTCCCGTATGAGCAAATGAAACCGGAAATCTTAAACAGGGGTATATAATTGTAGCAGACATACTGCTTCGCTAGTGAGCTAGCTTTTCTGGTGATGAGGTAGAGTCTCCCTCTATTTCAGGCAAGTTAAGCAACGGCGAGCTTGTGTAACCATTGGATGGGTGACCGCTTTACGTTACATAATTATATGACTTGTACAGATATGTCCGAGAACATTAGGAAACTGAATTACCTTTCAGTAATTATTCAATATTTAGAAGATTTCCTTTTTTAACAAGAGACATCTGTCCTATTTGTGAAAAGAAAATTGATACAACTTTCCGATCGTGAAAACGGGGGGGGGGGGGGGGGGGGGGGGGTTGCACTTTACATTAAAGTCAGATATCTGTCTGCAAAGAAATAAATAGATGAAAACTAACTTGATGATTAGTTAATTTTAATTCTTTAATTGAACAGGGATAGATATATTCAACACATAAATTTAAACTTGATTTACACATAGTTAATTTCAATTCATATTTCTGAATTATTGAACAGATAACAATAATATTTAGATTAAAAAAATAGTAACTACCAGGGATTTTTTTTCATCAAAAATTAAAATAAGACTGTTTTTAAATACAAAGTATAACACACAGTCATTTTCAGCCTCCCCGAGAGCGGGAACAACAGGGACAGTAATTATCAGTAAATGTCAGCACTTGTCTAAGTTCTTCAGCAGGGACAGTAAACGGGTCAGTAATTGTCTAAGTTTTTCAGCACCGACTAAGATTGTCAGCACTTTTCTAAGTTTATCAACACCGGCAGTAAAAGGGTCAGTAATTGTCAAAGTTTTTCAGTAACGACAGCACATTGTCAGTAAATGTCTAAGTTTATCAGTAAAAAATGGGAATGTCAGTACGTTTCTGACTTAGTAGTGTATATTAAACGATATTTTTGAGGATTTTTGTTTGAGATATTTACTTGTGTTTTGCAAATAATGATGAAATAATATGTCTGTAAATGAAGGTGATAAAAACAGCAGCCATTTGTTATGTCGCCTGAGTCTGTCAGATGACCTCCCAATCTTTGTCCGTCATCATCCGTTAACATCTGAACATTGCCATCATCTTCTCTGGAAGCACAGAACCTATTTTATTGATTTTAAATCTCTTAGTGAAGGTGAACAAAAACCGAGAACTTTATTGTTATGGGGCGAAACCCATCAAAATAATAACAATCTTTCAAAATCTTCTTTTGTCCTAGACATCAGGCAGTTGAACTGTTGTCACAGTTATAGACATCATAATTAGCACTGCGTGATCGAAAGACCCGGGTTCGATTCTCCTTCGCGACGCCGCGTCATACCTAAGATGTAAACAAAGGTAGTGACTGTTCCTTTGCCAAGCGCTCGACACTAGAAGTGAAAGTCACGGGTCTTTCGGATATGACCTTAAAAACGTAGGTCCCATGTCATGGTAGGCGCTGGCACGATAAAGAATCCTCACTGCTCAATGGCCCTGAGTGCCGAGTATAGGTCTAAGTTTGAAGCCCTTCACCGGCATACGGTGACGTCTCCATATGAGTGAAAAATTCTCAAGAGGGACGTTAAACAATATACAATACAATCAATCAATCATAATTAGCACTGAGTTATCTTCCATTTTTTTTTTAACAATTTCTATTCCCAGAAGCACCGTTTCTGAAATAAGGATCTGCTTTTGATACATGTTACCAAATTGTGTAATGAAGAAATTCTTTAAAAATTCTATTCACTGTATATTTTGAAAAGAATTTAATTGGTACTTTTGAAGTCTAAAAATACAGTCAATCCTATCCTAGGATAGACACCAACAGAGAAAAGAAAAATGTCTCTTTACTTATATTCTTCAGTGCTCCAACATGATATTCTAAAAATATATTTAAAAAAAAGCAATATAGAATTGATCTATACAATGTATCACTGCTTTTAAAAAGTACTTCTTATTTTTAACTCATCTCAACGAAGTTGGGGGAGCTTATGTAATACCCTTGGCGTCGGCGTCCGTGTCGGCGTCGGCGTCCCAGGTTAAGGTTAAGTTTTTTGGAGCAGTTTTCTTTTTAAGTACTTCTATGTCCTATATTAATTAGACATGCATGAAAGATGGTTCTAGTGTGTTTCATTGTACCAGTCAAAGTTTTAGATGCTGCAATTTTAGCAAAGGAATGACCAGGTTAATGTTTTTGGAGTAGGTTAACATTTTTGGTGCAGTTTTTGATGTAGGTTTCATTTCCAAGTAACTATAAGCTCTATATTGACCAAACTTGCATGGATGATACATCTAAGGATGCATACTACCAGGCTTGCTTCGGATGCTGAATCTGACCTACATTTCCGGTTGAGCGAACAGGTTAAAGTTTTTGGTGTAGGTTTCATTTCCAAGTAACTATAAGCTATATTGACCAAACTTGCATGGATGATACATCTAAGGATGCATACTACCAGGCTTGCTTCGGATGCTGAATCTGACCTACATTTTTCGGTTGAGCGAACAGGTTAAAGTTTTTGGTGTAGGTTTCATTTCCAAGTAACTATAAGCTATATTGACCAAACTTGCATGGATGATACATCTAAGGATGCATACTACCAGGCTTGCTTCGGATGCTGAATCTGACCTACATTTTTCGGTTGAGCGAACAGGTTAAAGTTTTTGGTGTAGGTTTCATTTCCAAGTAACTATAAGCTCTATATTCACCAAACTTGTATGGATGATACTTCTTAGGATGCATACTACCAGGCTTGCTTCAGATGCTGAATCTGACCTACATTTTCCGACTGAGTGAACAGGTTAAAGTTTTTGAGGCAGTTTTTGGTGTAGGTCTTATTTCCGAGTAACTATAAGCCCTATGTTGACCAAACTTGCATTGATGATACATCTATGGATGCACACTACTGGGCTTGCTTCGGATGCTGAATCTGACCTACATTTCCGGTTGAGTGAACAGGTTCAATTTTTTGGTGCAAGTTTCATTTCCAAGTAACTATGAGCCCTATGTTGACCAAACTTGCGTGGATGGTACATCTAAGGATGCACACTACTAGGCTTGCTTCGGATGCTGAATCTGACCTACATTTTCAGGATGAGTGACAAGGTTAAAGTTTTTGGAGCAGGTTCATTCCAAATTAACTATAAGCCCTATGTTGACCAAATTTGCATGGATGATACATCTGAGGATGCATACTACCATGCTTGCTTGGGATGCTGAATGTGACCTACATTTTCTAGTTGAGTGAATAGGTTAAAGTTTTTGGTGCATAATACATTTCCAGGTTACTATGAGTTATTTAATGACCAAACTTGCATGGATGATACATATAAGGATGCATACTACCAGGCTTGCTTTGGATGCTGAATCTGACCTACTTTTTGTGGATGAGTGAATATATTAGTTTTTGATGCAATTTTTATTTCCAATTAACTAGGAGCCCTATAATGTGCAAACTTGCATGGACGATACATCTTAGGATGCACACTAATGGACTTGCTTCGGATGCTGAATTCGACATACATTTTTTCAGATAATAGACCAGGTAAAAGTTATGGGTGCAGGTCTATTACCAAAAAACTATAAGACTAATATAACATTGTATAAACCAAAATTGCACAAATGTTGCATCAAGAGATGAAAACTCTCAAATTTGCTTCAGATGCTGGATTTTGATTACATTTTCATGAAGAAGAACTAGTTTAAATTTTTTATGTACGTCTGTTTCAAAGTATCAAATCAAAATTGCTGAAATATTTTCATTTTTGGAATGTACACTTTTTGTTGGTTAATTGTGTGACTTTGCCTTGCTTAAAGACACCATTCGTTGAGGTGAGCTCTGTAATCTCTGATTACCTATGTTTTTCTTGCGTATCATAGGGGTAAAATCGAAAAGTTCAATGAAAAAATTGTGCTTATTATAATTCAAATTATATGAGTCATTTTGCTTACAGAGAAATTTTGAAATATTAAGATATTTTACACATTTTAAAAATCTTTACAGATTTTTTTTTCAAAAAATGTACCGGTAATTTGTTTTGACACAATGAAAACTGATGCAATGTTCAAATTAACAGAATAAAGCAACAGAGCACACACAGCTACCAGCACATTTCAAAATAGAGTTAATAGATTTACATGTTTAAAATTTCATAATTGATCATGAAGAGGAAGTCGATGAATTCTGAGATTTTCTAGGGACTGTTCCAGTCACACTAGAACATAACTGTGTATACGTTTGTCTAATACAGTTTAATGTTTATATAGTATTTTAATCTGGCAATCACTTATCGATGATTTACTTTAAAGTTATTGAAAATGGAATCTTAAATTTTGAATGACAATCATACTATATGTTCATGTAGTTCAAAATAAAGGGTATCGGAATGTCAAATATTGAAATACTTTAGCACAACTCACTCAAATACTTTAGTTTAACTAATGATTAGAATTTGATCAAACTCTGAGAAATAAAACATGACATTGTCAGGATTCTGTAGGTAGTCATACAGAGAACCTCTCTCAGCAAACTCTGAGAAATAAAACATGACATTGTCAGGAGTCTGTAGGTAGTCATACAGAGAACCTCTCTCAGCAAACTCTGAGAAATAAAACATGACATTGTCAGGAGTCTGTAGGTAGTCATACAGAGAACCTCTCTCAGCAAACTCTGAGGAATAAAACATGACATTGTCAGGAGTCTGTAGGTAGTCATACAGGGAACCTCTCTCAGCAAACTCTGAGAAATAAAACATGACATTGTCAGGAGTCTGTAGGTAGTCATACAGAGAACCTCTCTCAGCAAACTCTGAGAAATAAAACATGACATTGTCAGGAGTCTGTAGGTAGTCATACAGAGAACCTCTCTCAGCAAACTCTGAGGAATAACACGTGACATTGTCAGGAGTCTGTAGGTAGTCATACAGGGAACCTCTCTCAGCAAACTCTGAGGAATAAAACATGACATTGTCAGGAGTCTGTAGGTAGTCATACAGGGAACCTCTCTCAGCAAACTCTGAGGAATAACACATGACATTGTCAGGAGTCTGTAGGTAGTCATACAGGGAACCTTTCTCAGCAAACTCTGAGGAATAACACATTAGATGCAAAGTAATACCCGTTATTCAGGTAGGTAAACAGAAAATTAAGGACATACAAGAGGCCCATGGGCCATATCGCTCACCTGAGAAGCTTTTACCATTCTGTTCTTTACAAGATTTCCCCCTTGTAATACATATTGTGACTTCACCCTACCCCACTGATCATAATTAAAACAATTTGAAATCTACACTACCATAGGATGCTATGATTCCCCATTGTAAAACTTTGATTCCCCATTGTGGCTCCGCCTAACCCCCAGGGGTCATGATTTAAGCAATTTAGAATTTACACTACCACAGAATCTTTTCACATAAGTTTCAGTTTTCCTGACCCAATGGTACTCGAGTAGAAAATTTTAAAAGTTTTTTTTTCCTTTATATTTCTATGTAAAACTTTGATTGCCCATTGTGGCTCCGCCGTACCCCCGGGGTCATGATTTGAATAATTAAGAGTCTTTACTACCCCACAATGCTTCAACATAAGTTTCAGCTTTTCTGGCTCAGTGGTTCTTGAGAAGAAGATTTTCAAAAAATTTTCCTATATATTTAGATGTTAAACTTTAATTCCCCCTTGTGGCCCTGCCCTACCCCCGGGGGTCATGATTTGAACAATTTAGAATCTACACTTACCCAGGATCTTTTCACGTAAGTTTCAGCTTTTCTAGCTCAGTGGTTCCCGAGAAGATGATTTTTCCGAAATATTTCTATGTAAAACTTTTATTCCCCATTGTGGCCCCACCCTACCTCCGGGGGTCATGAATTGAACAATTAAGAATTAACACTGTCCCAGGATGCTTCCACATAAGTTTCAGCTTTTCCCAGTGGTTTTTGTGAAGAAGATTTTTTAATGACCAGACCCTATTTTTGTCTTTTCTTGATGAATTCCCCTTGTGATGGGGATTGGCCCTTTATTTTAATAGTTTAAATTTACCTTCATCCAAGAATGCTTTGTGCCAAGTTTGATCAAAAATGGCCCAATGGTTCTTGAGAAGAAGTCGAAAATGTGAAAAGTTTACAGACGGACAGACATACAGCTAGACGGACAGACGACGAACAAAATGTGATCAGAAAAACTCACTTGAGCCTTCAGCTGAGGTGAGCTAAAAACTGTAAATTTTACTCAGTTCAGTTTTCATCTCCTTCCCCAAATGAGGAAGATGATAAAAATTATAATATTCTTATAATACGTTAAATATGTTATAAAATATGCATGTTCCAACCACAGGCACTTGATTCTGTAATAAATTTTTGACCCATGGTATAAAAATAACAAAAGGTCTGTAACTCCGATTTACACCAAGTTCCTAGATTATATTATAAAAAGAAAAGGATGGATTTTAACAAGAATTAATTTTTCCTACCAAATACATTATAAACCGTTCTATACTCTATCTAGACCCACACCCCTTAACGAAATTACCACAGGTAGATCTGCTCTAAAATACTAAGAAGTTTGAAAAAAAAACCTCAGGAATAATTACATACTAGTCACTTGGAAGACAAAATTAAACATTTTCTCAAGTTTATAATCCTCAACACACACAGATTGAGGTTATTTTATAATATTAAATAGAATTTGATTTTAAGAATTTTGAAATTGAGTTAGACGCAGGCGACGTCTTTACGTTTTCAGTTAGTAACGTTAGAGTTGTTTTGGCGCGCCTTACTAAAATGCTTATAAAATACTGTAAAAATGAGATATATTCAAAATTTATGTATATTTGGATTTAGAAAGAGTCCAGCTATTAAAATATACCAAAAAAGTCAATTTAAAAAGGATGTTTTGAAAACAGAAGAAACTATTTCCTCATTTTATTAATGTCATGTAGGTATACTTTATACTTGTCTACTTTTACAGTGTTTTATAAATCCATCTGTGAGTATGTTTTATAGGACCACTTTGTATATTAATTATTGATTTCTAACTATGCTTTCCTGTATTAATAAAGGAAATTATTATTACTGCAACATGTATTCACTTTAATATATTTATATAAATTTAAATTTTTTAATGAAAAAAATGTATTGTGAATTGGATTTTAATGATGTTAACTATGTTAAATTTGTATGCCCTTCATAATTCTCTAACCCATAGAGGTAAAATTATGCAGCTAGATTCGGTGAGGGATATACATGTACAAATGTACCAAAGAATAGTTTGTCTAATATATTCAATTTTTCCGTTCAAAAGCGCTAGAAAATCTTCATAACTAACAGAATCTAATATGACCGCTATGATTTTAGTTTCACACAAACGACTTTGATCAAATAAAGCAGAGATGTTACACGTTATTTCTTGGTTTTGGTTCCTGGTGAATAAATGGTTACCGGTATATAACCTTCATAAAAAGTCATCATCAACCTTGACATTATGTGCACCTTCTTAAACCGTTTTATAAGTGTTGCAATTATTATACAATTGTTTTATCTATTCTAAATCAATTTTATTTTCATTTTTTTATTGTATTAAAAGGTTTCTTGTATTAAAAGGCTGCATGATTAAATTTTACGGACAATGAATAGTCAAGAAAAACGGAGTAAGGTACCTGACACTTTAAATACTTTACTTTCTTGGGGAAAAAAACTTATATGATATTTTTTCCTACCTTTTATGGTGACATGTCTTTAACTTTGGTATAAAGTGCAGTTTTTACACACAGCTGCATTACAGTTAAATTTTCAGCCTTAGTGCATGTCAAGCTCTTTATGTAGTAAAATATAATATCTAAGTAAGTAAGTAAGTAAGTAATCATTTATTATAGTGACATTGTGCATTATAGACATTTCAATATACAGTGTAAACAAAATACGTCAAACTGAATCTGCACCGGCCCATTGGACCTATAAGTCACTTTTTCCATTAATAACATTTATTATAAATTTACACATGCAGAAGATTCTTTCGATGGTTAAATGCTGTATGTACAAATTTGGCTAACTTTATTTGGTAATTTTGATTTAGAATTTTGAACAAATAATCATTATTATTACTATTTGGGTGCTCCTTGTACACGCTATCAAAATATTTTTTCCTAGCATTATTATACAATTGACAGTCTAATAAGAAATGTTTTTCGTCTTCAACAACAGAACTAGAACAAAAAACACACGTTCTTTCACTTTAGGATTCATTTTTATATCGACCGGTTTCAATGCGTAAGGGAAGCATTCCACATCTGAACTGTGCCAAGGCTGATCGTTCGTTTTTTGAAATATATATAAAGTGAAAATTCTTTGTATATGGAAAACCTTAAGGACAAAACACATGAATTTTTTTATTGTATTACAGTCAAAAATAGTTTTTAATATTTAAAGTAGGTGTCAAATTGACATATTTCTGTAATTAATATCCAAATTACAGCATTAATTGCAGTCATCCATTTTTCAATGTCAAGTTTAAAAAACATTTAAACAGATGGGAAAAGATCTATTTATAAGACATTGATTTGGTTAACTTTTCTCTAGTGCAAGTCATGATTTTTATTTGGTGCTATATTATACCACTTTACCGTACGTCATCTCAGTTACGTGATGTATGTATCACTTGGACTGAAATATGCCTTCTTGCCTTCCTAATATGTTTGTGTCAATAGAGCTTCAGATAAATAATTATGTTCGACAGCAATTACGTGACTACTCAGGTCAATCAATCAATCAATCAAGAAGATACTGCAAATAAGGTATTATAGAAGCCACACAGGATTCTATATAGTTATAAACAATTCTAAGGTTACAGCTTCAAACTTTCTTTTCGTTCTATAGAAATATTTCTAAACAAAAAAAAAATATTTCTCATCTTCTTGAAAATTTGGTGTGACGTCCATATACAAGTCATCTGTCAGATCAATCGTGGTTCTTTTTTTTCGCTGCTTTTGATAATCATTTTATCAACAGAAATTTATTTAATTGCAAATACTTTTCTTAAATGACAGAGAAAGAGTAAATCAGTCAATCAAGTCAGCCACGATATGATATTTTATCAGACTGAACAAAATGTATTATATAATATGTAGGAAAATGATTTCTTCTGATTATATAAATTATAACAAAATGATACAAGAGGGTCTAAATGACTATTTAATCATTATAATACAATGTAAATACATTTCTCATTAGCTGATATATATGTATAAGAAGTAAAATACTGTTTAAAAGACGATTCTTGAGAAGATCAGGGTATTCATATGTCCTTTGAATTCCTCGCTACAGCTGTAATATTACTAGATATATATAAGCCAAGCAGTGTCAATTACATGATCAGTTACACTTTATTTTCGCTTTATATCCTGATCATGATGATTTTAAAGATTAAGGTATTTACTTTTGTACTTCTTCAAAGTTAAATCAACTTTCCACTGAAAAACTTTTGTTGGTATCATATTCAATTCAAATCAATAAACCCTCTCTGAAAAAAAGGACGCATAACAGATAAATTAAAACTGCGCAAAACTTTTCTTTATCTTTAATCAGATAGCAATAACGAAAATATTTTTTTTTTCATTTATAGAAAAAAAAAAAAAATCATTGTTTCATTATTTCACAAAAATGATTATTGTATTTTCTGATTTTGGGTACATTTCCAGCTCTGTGCAGTAGTAATCACATTGATAGCAAGTCTTTACAAACATCAAGGTTATTAATTGATGTAAGCATATTCCATAATTATATTTCATTGATTCTTCTTTCCAAAACACCACCACTGAGTCTTATTAAAGCCTGAAAATATAATATTGACAATTTAACAAAAAAAATTTCTTTATTAGTAAAATTAAACTGTTATTCATAATTTTCCTTATTATACTGAACTACGATTCTTGATGTGTGCATAATAACATTATCTAGAATTAAAGATTTTACATTTTTAACCTTTATCAATTTTTGAGATATAAAAAATGAACAACCCTAAACCAAATCACAATAACAACAGTTTTTTTTAGGTGAAGTTCAAATTAAAACCACACTTACTAAGGATATGGAACCCCCTTTCCATTTTTTTAATCTGGTGTCGTGCACTTAAATATTCACAACATGTTATAGATGATGTACCCCTTTTGTTACTATAAGCTTTAACTTTAACTATATTTTTTCGATTGATACATAATTGAATACTAAGTTGTTTTGCTTATAATTATGGTTACTGTCTCTATCCCGGATCGTGAAAGTTATGACGAAGGTCAAAATTGACAACAGACAAACAGAGAGACAGGGCAAAAACAATATATGCGATAGATCGTAGGCATACATTGTTTTTGCCCTGTCTGTCTGTTTGTCTGTTGTCAATTTTGACCTTTGTCATAACTTTCAAACCGTGACATATATGGAATGCATACTCCACTAATTAAGTTCTTTTAAATGACACCAACGTCATTGACCTTGTGAACTTGATTGTGACCTATATACAGTACTATATTTTTTTCGAACTTTGCCGGGCGCATTGTGTTTCACAAACACATCTTGTTTAACAATATCTATGATATGTATAATATTAAGTTGAATGAAAATAGTTTTCTAAACTCAACCAATCGAATTTCTGTTTAAGGCAATTAAATCAAAACTCGCCTGAATACATATCTGTATGAATGATTTTCATACTATTTCTGTCCATGTAAAAAGTGAAAGCATTGGCACAATCTCCACAAAATAAATTGAAATTATAACCTTTTCATATGCATGAAAAATGCTTACCTGAGAAAGATCAGTCCAGATAATATTGAACACATCATCACTTATCACAGGTCTACTTCCTGGATCATGACTGTATTTATTTCTGTATAAACGGATTCTTTCTATGTCATCACTCTCTGTAATGTCCACTATTCTAGGCTCTTTTCCCCATCCATTCCCAGGAGGAGCAATGTCAGAGAAATTCCTCAACAATTTATACATGATGGTAACGTCCATAGATAAAGATGAAACCCCAGTGGCGGATCCATCTTTAAAAAAATTCAAACTGCGTTACAGTTACATCTACATATACAGTCTAAATAGTATTTTGATTTCTTTGTCTTCCTTACAAAAGTATCCTTTCTGTAATTTTGTTTTTGTTTTATGTATAAGTAATTGATAATGAGCGCAGTGTGCAGCGCGAGGCTCCGCTCGCAAGGCAATTTCTAACGACAACGATTTGGCTAAAGAAAATGCGGACTTATACGTTGATACAAAGGAATGTTTCTGCAGTTAGTTTTAGATGCACCATCCATCCCTTCTTTAAACAATTTCCTTGTGAGAATAAGAACAAGCAAAAAAAAAAAAATATTTATTTGATTTTTAAAATTGTATATTGCAGTTGAATATTCAATAAAACGGTTTTTTTTTTCAATTTAAAGTCAGCACTGGTTTTGGTTCGGTAATTCAGCTTAAAAACGACATCATGTGAGGTCAGAGTCGAGATGCACCAAATGTCACGTGGGGATTGACGAGCCTGATATAAATTAAAACTGAATAAGTATCTGCACTCGTCCTAAAGGTCGCACCATCTACATATTATTTTGTGTCTAGTTATAAAAATTATTCTTATTAAATATTGTGGATTACCGATATGACCCTGTTAAAGATGGATACAATTTCCGAATTTAAAATCTACAGAAAACTTGATTTAATGAAATTAATATCAATACTTTGTCAAGAATATTTCACCTAAGTTCTGCTCTTTGAGCTAATAGTCCTTGATGGTTTTTTTAATTACCACACCTTATTTTTGCCTTTTCTTTGGTATCTTCCATTACAAACTGCATTTTTTTTAAATTAAAACAAACTAATTTGGTTAATACCCGGTATTAGTGAAACACGTGCAGGTCTTAAGACGAAACAGAAAATTCTGCAAATGCTTTTCATTTATTACGTCCTGATATTTGAAGAGAAAACATGCATGCATGGGCATTTGAAAAAGAAAGATCCGATGGAAATAGATCATTATTGGTGTTGTCCAAATAAAAAAAAGCCCATTTTAATAAAACATAAAAAAAAACATGGAACCTTGTGTAGGGAAAAGAATCTCTAATTGAGGTGGTTGGAAACGGAACTGTCCTCTTCTTATGTTTGTTTCATTATCTTTCAAAGTCTTCTCTAAATCCTCCTTTGGGAAGAATTTATCAAAGCAAACTCGTACTGCATCCGTTCCAACTTGCAATAACTTCCTTATCCTGTCGATATTTGCGTTGGATTTATCTAAGAAGATACAAATCATTATAATAAAAAAAGCATTATTTTTCTATTAATATTTTTTTTCTTTCTTTCATTAATTAAAACGTTCATGAATAGTGAGTATTGATTGGCATGACGCCTTTGAAATCTAAAATTGTTTTGAACTTGATCGTGAAGAAAGCTAAAAGTATATAATTCAATACATTGTGCTAAAAAGCTATATTTTGTTTAGATTTGAAACATTAAGAGACCTGTTGCTAGTAAATCTTTTGATGCTCTGCTTCCATGGGTTCCATCTAAGTTAAAGTCCTTACATTCTCCTTCATACTTAGACATCTAGAATTCATCCACAGGTACATATTTGAAAAAAAAATACAGAGGAAAAATATTAAAAGAAATCGCATCATTTAAACATATGCAGAATAAACAATGCCTTCCAAATTCTTTATAAAACGACTTGAAAGGAAAAAAGTCTTTTCTATGAAAAATTTAATGCACATTTCTATCTAAAAACGATAGAACTATAAATTTCCTTCATGTTATATACATGTATCTTGTTTCCAACTGGCAATCTATCATTCAACCTAATACTTGCATGTCAGTGTCAGGAATATAAGGACTATGTTTAGAAATATAATTTATTATCTAAGTATTTCTTTTTTTTCCATGTAAAATGTTCTATATCATCAATTCAATTAACATACCTGTACCCAATATTTTGTGATTGCTTGTTTATCAATAAAATGCATTTTCTCTTCTGGACAGGACAAACACTGGAAACTTGATCCTCTAAAGTCAGATTCCTTAATCACACTACTTTCTTTGTCGTTACAAAATCCCAAAGGTTTGCATTTAAATGCGAGCTGATATTTTAAGTCTGCATGGAATGTCATGGACAGATTGTTCAACATTTTGTCGATTTCTGTCTTTATTACCTGACATTTTGCTGTATCAACTTTTCCTTCTATGACAAAAACCTGCAACTGAATTTCTGTCTGAGTCATTCCGAGCAAAATGTTATGGTTATCGAATAGGAATACAGCTACATTTTGATAAATGAATGGTCCGCTTTTGCTTGAAGCAAACTCCCAAGGAATTTGCAAACATGCAGTTACAAGGCGTTGGAAAATTCCTGCTGGAAGAAAGTGAAAGGTGTAACAAAGGATCGATGATGAAGGGTAGGACTTAAAGTGATTTGATGGAAAGGGCCTTTTGTTCATACATGGAACATACCACGTTAAGCCATCTAATTTAGCTACTAACCCTAATTTCTCCATATATAACATGATATCTTTTTTATGTTTCATGTAACCATCATCTTTAATTTTCCAAATTGCTGTCAGCAAAGTGTCATTCAATTCTCCTGTTTTATTGAAATTTTCCCATTCGGAGGCATATTCAAATAAATCCTCTTCTGCATGATTTTTATCAGTTATAACGTTCTTGAATGCATTCACAAACCATTGAACATCAAGAATAATTATTTCATTCAGGGACTCCTGGCTGAAGTTTAAAATTTCCCTGATGTCGTGGAAAAACTGCAGCATCACATTGATGTCTTTAACAGTTCGGAGCTTGATTTCCTGTGGCAATGCATCGTTGAAAGCCTTAAGAGTTTCTTTATGCATTATCCTCTGCGACTTTTTTTCCTGAAAGAAGTTTTCAAACATAGCCCATGAGCGTGGCAGTTCTTTCCCCCAATGATCCATTTCTTGAACGATTTTAGCAATTGAACTCTTAATTTTCTCAATGTTGTCACTGTCATGAAATCCAACTGAAAACTGCCTTTTAACATTAAGATGCCTTTGTAAGGATTTGTCCTTTGTTTCTAAAGTCTTCCATATCTCTCTAAAAAAGGCTGCTTCCTCCTGTTTAAAATAATATTTATTAGACATGTATCAGTGACACCTTATCTATTTTTTTATCATGAAACAATACATGTCTGCTGAACTAATGCCCCTGATTACAGCGAATGATCAAAATTAATATTTCTCAAATCAAATATCAATATCAACCTCAAGCGATCAAAATGTTGGTACCTATAAATGAAGGTCTTTTCAAAACAAAGAATGGAGGAATACAAGGCGAAGCCAATTCCCCACTCTGATGACAAAAGACGTAGATCAATTCTAAAACATCAAGAAAAGTTATATTTTTCAAAATTATATCATTATTATCATCTTTTACACATTTAATTCTTGATTTTGATATTTTATTAATAATTTATTATTTTTCACCCATCGTTTACGCTACGAGGATATGTGTTTTCGACATCTGTCAGTGTGATTAAAATGAACGGGTTTGTTAAAGCGTATGTTGTTTTTGAAATATTCAATTTTCATATAGAATGGGTCCAGATTCCAATTTTTAGAAAAATGAAAAAGATTTCACATTTATGTTGTCATCATTTTAGCGTTAAAAAAGAATGGACATTTGACCCTGGTATTCAAAATTCATTTTTTTATGCCTCAAGTAAACAAATTTTCCATTAAATATGCTTCAGTATCAATTTTGAAGAAAAGATGGTTAAACCATAAGTCGTTCAATAAAATAAAATAATTAGATGTTTTAAAGATGACATTACTGAGAACATGATTTTATAACTTTTTCGTGAATATTTAAAATTGAGTAACATATTATCTAAGAGGGGGGTTTGTCCACGCCTTGTACGCCCTTTTTCTTTTAATGTGAAATTTTGAAGCCTTATCAACAAAAGCTATGAGGTAAAGGTTTGACAAAATAGACAAAACTGACAGGTCAAGGGTTCTAAAGTTATGGTGACCAAGGAAAAGCCTTAATTGTCACCTGAAATGCACATATAAAATATGAAATCCTAAGATTCAACTAACAAGAAGTAATGGCAATGTTCATTTTTAAAAGGTCATGCATAATCCAAGGCAATATAAAAGGATCCACATTGATGATGCCCATGGGAAGGTCCTGTCACTAGAAAAAAACATGTAAAATAAGAAAGGCTTCTTACAGAACTACAGTAACCATTCAAAAGTACTGGCCACGTGGAACGTTTTTCAAAAGAGGATCAAACTTAAGGTCAATGATAATGGGTTAAAGTATTGGCACCGAAGAAAAGATCTCATCACCGAAAATATGTGCAATATGGGTACATCCCACTACGCAGCTAGAATAAGGCTGCCCCTAAAATATCAAACTGTTCAAATTGTAGTAACTTCTCTAAACTACTTAGATATGACGTCATAATAGAATATGATGTCAAGTCACTTCATACTTGAGCTGACATGACAGGGAAAGTGTAATAATTTTTACATGGCATGTAGATTTATTTTGGGGCCTTGTTGTTTATTTCAAGTATTAGGACTGATTTAAGCTCTAATGTGCTATTTTGATGTTGGACATTTGAAATTTAAACATTCCTATTCCTTTCGCTTGTCAGATATGCACACTTTCAAACAAGAGCAAAAAATGATATGTGAAACGCTCCCCTTACACGTCTGTAAACAGAGTTAGAATTTATAAATCGTGTTTATTTTGGACTGGCACAAGTGATAAACAAGGACATATTAAAAATATTCTGTATTAATGTACAAGAGAAGTATGTCGTCTAACTGAATTTTGCTGGAGGATTGTGTGTAGTTTATACATTTTTGTATGAATCGCGATAAAGAGTTGTAACTAGAGCCGAGCTCGTTGCAAAGCAACGGGTAGGTCTTCCGTTGGAGCCATGGACAGGAAGTACAGACCTTGGGTCAAGGTCACTGCACTTTCTTATGTTAACAACCTTTCTTCCCAGCATGAGCCTCCAGTAAATTTTAATTATAAAGTTATGCGCTTAAACATTTTTTTCTTTGTCAGTGACCTTGATTTGCCAGAAAGACATTTGATCAGGGTCATGACAAAACCTCCAATCATAAGTAATGTATGTTTCAAGTAAGAGACTCCAATGATTTTCATTTACTAATTTATAACGTAGTAAAAAAAATAATTCTTCTGTCAGTGACCTTGATCTTAACAGAATAACCTTGGCTCTGTTTCAAAACAAACACCTTTTAGTGATTAGAAGTTCATAACCCAGACAGGAATTTTACAACTTTTCTGTCATTGGCGATGAAGATGTTTGAAATTTGCATTATCTCGCACCATTTTGTCACAGGTCAGAAAAACAACATTGAATTATTTAAAACATCACCGGATATTAATATTCAAACAACATGGAGTTTCTATTTATGAAAGATAGACGGGGTTGAAAGTCCTTTCCATAAAACGTATTTTAGGGTAATAGCTTTATTCTCAATAAAATTAAACTCAAAAGTCCACAAATAAAATATCTTTCCTCATTTATTTCAAAGTTTGCGTAAAGGGGGTGAGGAGCATGCGGATGTCATGATGTATACGTAATACATTCAAGGTTATTATTATGTTAGACAGGAAGACCCAAGGAGTTGTGATTTGCTGATCATAATCTAAAACACGTTGACAAACCGAAACCACATGGTTTTATACACGTTATTCAATCAATTTATGCATTATTATTTTCCTTGAAGGAGGAATGCATGGATAAAGGATTAAAGAAAATTTCCGATGTACAATAGCATCCGTGCATGGACTTCATTCTAGTACTACATAATGATATTGTGCTTGAATAAAATCATCAAATAAATTAAATTTAAATAGGAAAGGGAGATTATGTTTAATAGAATAAAAATTAGACAATACTTGATACAGGGACTCGCTGGTAAAAACTTGAATGTACTTGAATAAAATGCCTCTCACTCGTTTTCTCCGGTACGCGTATTTTTTAAACCAAGGAAACTAATTTGCGCTAGATATGAGTTCATCATTTAACCCCCCGCTTTAAAAGCGGGAGGGTATATAGTAATTGTTAATTCCGTCCGTCCGTCCTTCCGTCTGTTACGCTTTGGGGTACCCATCTCTTATCAGCAACTCCTCTTATACCACTGGATGAAATTTGATGAAACTTTCATAGAATCTTTATTACATATTACCATTGTGCACCTCCTATTTTACTTTTTGATCCGACACATATTTTGGATTTCCCATAGCAAAACATGGACACTGCCATTTATACACATATGGGAGGCGGAGGGTATCATTTAGTGAGCCCATTGCTCACAGTACCTCCAGTTTTAATGAAAATACTGCGTTATATACGGTAAACAATACAAATGGTTTGACTTTGGTGCCTGTTATGATTTTAACAGTTTAATTTTGGTTGTAAAAGCGTTTAATTACATGATAAGTCTGTAATATTCAGATAACATTGTAACTCGGTATATAAGTTCTTAAATTTTTGATTCTGGACATATGCGGTTTTTATAATTACTACTTGAATGTACATTGCATAACCTGCTACTGATATTTAATCAAGGAACAAAATTACAATGTTAGCACACTATACTTCCTATCATTTATACGGGTTTTGAATAAATTATAAAACAAATTAAGTTCATTGCTTTAAAATCATTATTTCTTGAACTTTACTATAAAACCTGTAATATAAATTAATAGACAGTGTGCAGCACAGAAGTCACTTATGAAGTTTACACGTGCCGGTGTTACTTATAGATGTTGAGTCCATTTCATTGAGTATAATTCTCTCCTTACGATTCTGAAGATTCTCTTTAAAAGTTTAAAATTGGTATAGCCATGGTTAATATCTGTGATAAAAAATTGTGTTTCGGAAAACTTGTGTTGAAACGGATTTATTTGTGTGTGAAAAGAGCAAAGCTTGTACATTTTAATAAATATTGGTTGAAGTAAAGTAATTGCAGATCGCCAGTCCTTGCGCTATGAATCGTCAAATTACACATGGATCTAAGGAATATTTAAGAATTGAAGACTGATTAATGTACATGTAAAATAAATGCCCCAGCGTTTTGTACTAAAGTCAAACCTAAAACATTTTAAGATATTTTTGAAAGATTTAATTTACTTCGAGAAAATAATATTTTCTTACTGTTGTAGAATGGTTTGTATATACCAATTATTTGCCTTTGACTGCGGGGTCAATGGTTCACCGCGGTGTGTCGCTTTAGAATTTCTCGGCGTCGTGTACTCGAAAGATAGATTACGTAATGGTAAACACACTTAAAAAAAAATCTTGCTTCCAGGTGAATATGAGAATCGCGCAGTAAATAATTGTGTATTATTTGACTCTTAAAAGTTTTTTTTATGAAATCCGGGCGTATATTGTTTCCGTTCATATTGTTTATGTTCATATTTAAAACGAATAAAAGATACTCTTACTTTTTTTTCTATAACTCTTTCTATTGGAAAGATCTTTATTAATAAAAGGAAAAAGATACCATCGAATACTCTGAACGGGAAACAAAGAACACGTTTAAAACCTAATTTTAAAAAGAGATATGATAAAGCGTGGTAAAATATTTATTACTTACGGCAAGTTTTTTTCAATTATACGCATAGAGAGTTCTTCAATATAAAAACGAGAATGGAGCCTTGTTTACGGTGAATACGGATCTAGCTTTCTTTCCTACCATACATAAGACTCGAACAAATTAATATTTTCATGCATGGGACAGAGATAGTATAAGAAGGAACAATTTTATCAAGAATTAATTTAACCATTCTGTGGTGTTTTTTTGTGTATGACTGTGGGTCGCTGGATCACACGCTGATTGATTCCCGGTGACCGACTTTGCCCCGTCGCTATCGAAGGAAAAAAACACCTTTGATAAGAAAGAAACAAGTCCAGGAAATTATTGGATCTGCCATTTTCCAGTATACCAAGGTTCATACCCAAAAATAAGTTCTATAATCAATCAGAAATTAGATAAAAAAGATTACGGACATGTGTTGTAATTAAAAAAGAATAATAAGTAAAATAATGAAGACAAAATCATGAAAAGAGTCTTTTGCTTCTTTCCGAGCACCGAGGACATTATTTATTGAACAGCTCTTGTACATTTAATAATTCTACAAATTCAGTGAGGGGGATCTGAATCCACCCCCCTCCCCTAAACTGCAAATGTTTTACTTTTTCCTTAAGTGGGGGACACAAATTCTCTGAATTAGCTTGTCATTTTTAGAATCGGTAGGAAAAGAAAGTAGTGCTGAAAAATTACACTTCCTTAATTTGCAGACTTGCATAAAAATTGTTCAGATGTACTAAGCTGAGCCTCACACTTGTTGATAAGGAGTATCTTTTCTACCAAAAAAGGTCGGCCGCGTGGCGCAGTGGTTAGATTGGCCTGCCCGTCTGATATCCGATTTTCCTCCGTACGGTAAAGATAGGCAATATTAGTCTATGCAGTGGTTAGAGCGTCTGCTTTAGAGTCGCGAAGCAATGATTCAATCCTTGCGTCGTGGGTACGAATCCCACTGTTGGACGTGGAGACCGGTCCTTCGGATGAGACAGTATAAACTGAGGTCCCGTGTTTCAGTAGGTGCTGGCTCGAAAAAAGATCCCTCCCTGCGCAATGGCCCCGAGTGCCGAAGTATAGGACAAAATTTGCAACTCTCCATCGGCAAGTGGTGGCGTCTCCATATGAGTGAAATATTCTGGAGGGTGACGTTAAACGATATACAATCAATCAATCTACCAAGAAAGCTTGGTAAATGTAATTTGTCAAGAAGATGAACCGAGTAATTCTGTGTATTACAGCGCCAGTGAGAACTCCGAAATTCCCCTACTTTCACTTTCATTTTATAGTCCCCGCAGACAGACGCCTTTTGCCGGAAAACGAATTTGTCATGCCAACTCGAGATTTTAACCAAGTAAAGACACCTTGATGTACTTTGATTTGAGGGATCACTCACTGCTGAACGAACATCGCTATGAGAAGAAACGTTCATATTGTCGCCTTGCCGTTCTGTACAAAATACGTAAAACGGAGTTTAAAAGCAAATATTTGCATATCCACTGCTCTCTCCCACTATGACCATGTAGTCTTCAGTTTATAGGACTATAGACGCAATTGCTTCAACTATGAGTGCAATTGCTCTACCACTCTCTTGTAGAACAATCTCTGCTACACTTATGTAGAGTGTTGAGAAGTATATATATGAAATGTTTCGTAAGACGAATAAAAATACGTTTTTAACAATATTTTTTGAAAAAAAAAGGAAATTTAGAATATCTAAAATTGCTGATTTATATCTTTAAAAATTCAATTTTGGTCAATGTATTTAATTGATCAATAAAACTTTTTAAAATTATAGATAACTGCCAAATTTTTATTTTTTCATAACATATATATTTGTACAAAGAAAGATAATTCTTCACACTTGGGTAATAACACCCAGAAAGAGGAAATTTCCTTAACTAGTATATCTACTTCAAGAATGATTTCAGCTATTAAAAATAAATATGAAAAGCTAAAAAAAAATCATAGAAAAGCATTCTGGAATAAAAATCATTATAAAAGCATCGTCATTTTTCATCATAGTGTTAAATCATTGATTTTTGCCAGAGGGTTTCAATAACGTTGATCGATGATGTCACAACTACATCAAAACAAAAATTAAGAGAATGTGATGACGGCGCTGCTTGTATCCAGATAAATGTTTGAGAGGGGAATACTTTATAAATTGTTTGTGGTTTATTAGAGAAAAGGATCATTGATCAGGTGTACTGATTTTAAAGCCGTATGTTTTTCATTACTGCAGACAAGAAGCCGCGTCCTTATGTAAGTCAGGATTTCCTTTGATCGAAGAATGCAAATATAAGTAATAAACAACGATTATTCAGTGAACATGGCATTATGAATAGCAACTGCTCTGCTGGCATATGTTCCATGATGCGCTAGCGCGCATCATGGAATATGCCAGCAGAGCAATTTCTATTCACAACGCCATGTTCACTGAATAACGTTGTTTATTTCTTAAATATCGTGAATATTTTGTGTAATTCATATGGAATTCAGTCAATGAAACAGGTATGCTTATTTATTTTCATCGCTTATTCTCTGTCAAAGACTGTCAACTATATATGTATCCCGGTCAGCCTTTCCTATGTCATTTGTGACAAAGCAAATGCAACAGAACAACAATAATCTGTATATTTCAAAACATAAGATTTGTACAGATGAAAAGTTTGCCTCTTAAAATACTTGGAAAGCGCTGCTAGAATGTCGAGTTAGGCATGGTTTTACGAAAAATCTCGGTTCATATGTAAAAAATTCAAAACATCGGGTAAGGGTTCGTGCGAATGTGTGGAATTATTATTTTACTGACAGGACAATGAGACTCTAACAGCACATTTTAGGAAAAATAGATGTTTTCCAATTATATTATTTACGCAAAGAAATTATTAAACTTCGGGGTATTGTTGTTCTATTAGCTTTTTTATTGAGGAAAACTGTGCTATTAATAGAAGTCACGTAATACCTTGATTGTGGTGCACGTCGTTGCGTTAGACCCCGTCTTATCTTTTTGTATTAACTAATAATAGTTTACGTTTATCAGCGGTTTTGATAAATTATCAAACATAATTTTCTTTAAAAAGTCTTAATTGCCAGAAAAATGAATTTTATGCTTTCTTAACATACCCGCGTTTTGTCTAGTATAAACATGATTATCTGTATGAAGGTCAGACGAGAAAGTGAATTTCCTCAATCAATACATTGGATCTTTACTGCTACTTAAACAATTTTTTTTTCAAAAAGATTGCAGTTCATTTGTAAAGAATACCTGGGGGTATATTCCCTTTATAATCCTTTTGGGTAGAATTGGAATTTAAGTTATCACGAGTTCTGGTGTTTAAATCTTAAGTATTTTAAAAACAGTTTAGAAAACAAAATATATGAATGATTATAATTTGTTTGGTAAGTTACCGAAAGTTACAAAATCAGCAAATCGCTCAGTTTTTTGAGTGCTCGCTCCATTATCGGAAAGTCGTCGGTTCGAATCTCAGTCGCGACTGATCTAAGTCGATAAAAATGGGTAGCGATTGTTCCTTTATCATGCGGTCGACATTTTGAAATGAAAGGTCCAGGTCTTTCTGATGACACCTTAAAAACAAAGGCCACGTATCAGGACAAGCGTTGGCACACTAAAAATTCCTCACAGCTCAATAGCCGTGAGTGCGGAGTAAAGGTCAAAATTTAAAGCCCTTCACAAGTATATGATGATGTCTCTAAATGAATTGAAAAATCTCGAATGGGACGAAAACAGCATACAGTCAAGCAATCCATAACTCCCAAAATCGGTAGGGAACGTATCGTAAGACTTTAATACCAGAAAATCTTACATTATTAAACAAAATATCAACAGTTACGACTTTCAAATATATAAGAAACATGAATTAATGAACTAAAGTCAAATTCTATTTCAATAAAAGACCTAGTGTACATGAATAATTTTGACTTTGAGCATTTTATACATTTGTAATTATATATACCTCCTCTGTTTTTTCCTCGGCATGTGTGGCTATGAGGAGAACAGGTGCTTTATCACTGCTGTACTGATGAATGGACTTCACCCAAAATTTAAGATAATCTGAATAAAAAAATTAATCATGGGGGATTATTTAATGGACGATTTGATGAAATCAAGAAATATTTGAATATAAATGAATTAAGAATATTTAATTCAAGAGCTTCTTCTAATTTCATGCTGTAATCACTTTTGACTTCCTAAGTGTTTCACTTTAATGCAACATGTTTTATATATTTATTGAATATTTATGTGTATTTATGTTTTGTAGGTTTTTTAAGCGCAAACCGTTTGTTAACTCAAAAATCGAGAGTTAAAATCATCACAATGAATTAAGGATTCCAGCATCATATTAATGTGCACTTAACATTTACTAATAATGTAAAATTATGTATTCAAACAAACCCCTGTGTGTCCATTTTTTAAAAATGGAACCTGTCTGGCTACATTCTTCTTCTCCGACTTGATCATCAAACTTTTTCTCCATATTGAGTACCAAAATAAAGAATGCCCGCGGACTCATAAAAACCTGGTGTGTGGCATAATATGCACACTGTCCAGCAAAATCCAGGATAGTGATTCTTTTCTCAGGATCATCAGAATCACTACTTGAAATACGTAAAATTTCTGATATAGAATCTTTATCAGCATTCGGACTAACTTCATTTTTTTCAGCTGATTTTTCTGGCAATGTGACATTTTTCGATAAATCAGTGCCAGGGTTCGGGTTCGGGTTGTCCTTTGACGTTTGTTTGACACTTATTTTTTCACTGACAAGTTTTTTGTTCTCCACTTGTTCTTCAATATGTTGTTCATTAGTTTCTTTCTGGGAGTGTTCAAGAACATTTTGAATTTGAATGATTTCATCAAACGTTGCCTTGAAGTGTTGTTTATGAACTGATGTGTTAACTAAAAAAGAAATGTGGGTTGATTAAAAGTTTCAAAAACAATCAGAATCGACCTGATTACATGTATTCTGATGACTATATAAAAAGTTAACTATAGACTATAAAGCTCATATGAGCCCCAATCTCTAAGAAAAGCAAAAAAAGGAAAAATCAATTGAAAGCAAGTCCCAGAGCATTTAAATCCGTATATTTTAATTTTATCTTGGAAAACTCGTGTTTCCGTTTATACAAATCTCTTTTGTCTGAACAAAATTCAGAAAAGAGTACATTTTTTGTACATTCAAATGATAGGTCACTTTTTATTAGTGATATATGTTATTATCATTCGTTGTAAACGAAAAAAAAATTATCAAAGATTAAGAAAGCTCTTCTTCATGAATATCATCTGTAATTCAGTCCTACAACAAGCAAATATATCAGCAGTATTCCTAGCTATAGATGCAACAATTATACAAGTTAAACCAGGGAAAGGATTCTAACTTTTTTGTTTAACAACCGAGAATATTTAAGTGAGATTCCATATCTAAAACATAATTGGTAGTGCATTTATGCACGTTTGGTCTGCATATTGCTTAAGGAATCTCTGAACTGAAGCTTTTCCATGTACTCTCATCATTTTTGTGGTATGAGTCCCATAGTGAACCATCCATATATGTTTAATTACGCTAGTGATCTGTTTGGGATCCGTCATGCATGATGAATCTTGCATTGTTACATTATTACAAATAATACTATGGTTTCATCAATATTCGTTGTCATCAATTTTCGTGGATTTTGTAAAACAGACGTTTTCGAGGATACGTAATTTCGTGGACAAAAGCATTGCTTATACAAATGAATGTCATATTTCGTATTTCAATGAACATTTAAATTCGTGGATCTTCTTAACAACGAAATCCACGAAAATTGGTGCTCAACGAATATTGATGAAACCACAGTATTTGATAATGAAAACAAAATACCATTAATGGTGTCTGACACATCAAAGATGTCAGTATGTATGTCAATTCCTCTCGTTGATTTGGTCTTCTGTTTAATTTCGGCCACGTCATTACCCTTCAGTCTCTCTAACAATGTTGTTTTCCCACTACCAGCACACCCTATTATCATCCCAGAGGCATGGTACATGGTTGTCTTCCCTTTCTTTAAATT